AGTTACTTTCAAAATATCACTTAAAAATATTTAAGATTCCTGATATAGCTGTTGAATCATAATGTTATGAAAACGTAGGACTAATTTCAATGATACAATCTTTGAGGAGCTACATCTACCACTAAATATAAATTTTAAAGACAGGACAAAAAGCATAATATTCAGAAAAAAAGTTATCCAGGCATGGTGGTGTGCCCCTGTAATCCCAGCTACTCAGGAGACTGAGACAGGAGAATCATTTGAACGCAGGAGGCGGAGGTTGCAGTGAGCAGAAATCACGCAACTGCACTCCAGACTGGATGACAGGGTGAGACTCTGTCTCAAAAAAACAAAAAACACGTGATGTTTAAAATGTCCTTAATAAATGAATAAAGATATGAAAAGTCAGTCTCAACCCAGATCGATTTATTTGTGTGTATGCTTGAGATCACTGAAATATATGATCTGCCAATAATGGCCTTTGGCATGCAAATCTCTCCTTTTGACTTCGTTTTAAACAATTGGTTTAAAAAAATTGATTAATTTTGAATAATTTCACAGTTGAGAACATTATTTATAGCACAGGTCATTATTGTATAGATTTGACTATGCCCTTCATTCATCAAATTATGTACTCTGAAATGACGACATACAAAGCCTGTCATACATGGATTGCTTCTCTATGAGAATGCTCATTGCCCTGTTATTAAGAAGTCCCTCTGTACTTCATAAAGGAAGTAGTCACTTTTACTTTTTTCATGCTTTGATCATTGACCCCTAAATACATTTTTACGTAATAAGCTCTAATTATTCAAACTATTCTGTTCTTACATCTTCATAAGCATTATAGTTAACATGTGGCCAACACAAAATCCTGCACACTGATGTTTATCGCAGCTTATTCATAACTACCAAGACTTAGAAGCAACCAAGATGTCTTTCAGTAAGTGAACGGATAAATATCTATTACTAAGTGTGAGAAGCCAGTTTGAAAAGGCTATATATTGCATGATTCCAATGACATAACATTCTGGAAAAAGAAGAACAGTAAACCATTCTGGAACAGACATAACACTCTGGAAGCAGACAACATTCAGGAAAAAGGAGACAGTAAAATGTTCAGTGGTTGCCAGGAGTTAGTGGGGAGGGAGGGATAAATAGACAGAGCCCAGAGGATTTTTAGGGCAGTGAAACCACTCTGTATGATACTATAACGGTGGATACATGTCATTACGTATTTGTCCAAACACATAGAATGAACAACATCAAGAGTGAACTCCCATGAAAACTACAGACTTTGGGTGACAATGATGTGTCAATGCAGGTTCATCAATTCCAACAAATGCACCACTCTGGACTGGGGAGGGTGTTGATGGTGGAGAAGGCTGTGCACGAGGCAGGAAATATATGGGCACTCTCCATACCTTTCACTCTATTTCACTGTGAACCTAAAATAGCTATCAAAAATAAAGTCTGCTTTTTAAAATGACATCTGGCCCTTCAAAGTCAGAATAGGATAGTTATGTAAAATGTTTTCAAATATTCATACCTTTCAGTTGTTTATGGAACAATTTTTACTCTTTAAGTTTGTCTCCTCTAATTTTACTATTCAACAAGTAATTTTCAGCATCCCTAATGAGAGATACAAACAAATAATGACATGGGCTTTGTTTACAATGAGTGTTCTTTTTTGTAGAGGGGATAAGATTAAAGCATTCGAAACAATTGGACAACCAATATGTGATGAAATTTAATTAACTGCTGGTTAGTGTAAATGGATGGGTCTGGGGCAAAGAGGTTAAAGTGGACTGCTTTTTGAAGTATTGATAGTTTTGAAGTTCTTATAGCTCTTTTCATTCTATTAAATGTTTATTTGTAGGGGTATAAATATAGCAAATCAGATAATCTTTCAAAACTTTAATCTTTAAATTCGCTTGGACACTTAAACACATTCTTTCCTAGAAACATCATTGCAAGTAATGACTAATTTTTCTTCAAAAAAGGAAGTAAAAAAATATTTTTTAATAGAATTTTAATAGGAGTAGAGTCTCACCTAGATGTAAGCCAATAAAATCTGAGTCAGGAATTCCAACAAGGCTGGAGCCCAAATTTCAGGAGGGGAATGGTAGTGATGGAGGAGTTCCAGAAGTCAGGGAAGGTATGAAAACCCAGAATGGGACTTCTGGATTAAAGATGGGGTTTTAACTGCATGTTCTCACTCATAGGCAGGTGTTGAACAATGAGAACACATGGACACAGGGAGGGGAGCATCACACACTGGGGTCTGTTGGGGGTGATAGGGGAGGGGCAGCAGCGGGTAGGGAGTTGAGGAGGGATAACATGGGGAGAAATGCCAGATATAGGTGACAGAGGGATGGAGGCAGCAAACCACATTGCCATGTATGTACCTATGCAACAATACCCAGGATCTGCACATGTACCCAGAACCTAAAGTACAATAAAAATATTAAATTAATTAAATTGAAATTAATAAAAAGGAAGAAGAAGAAGAAGAAGAACGAAGGAGGAGGAGGAGGAGGAGGAAAGGGGAGGAAGAAGGAAGAAGAAGAAGAAGAAGAAGAAGAAGAAGAAGAAAGAAGAAGAAGAAGAAGAGAGAGGAAGGAGGCGGAGGAGGAGGAGGAGGAGGAGGAGGAGGAAGGAGGAGGAGGAGGAGGAGGAGGAGGAGGAGGAAGGTGTTTTAAAAAGGCTGAGTGGTGGTGAGTGGCCGTGTTAAGCTGAGTTAGAAAACTCAAGTGGTGAGGCTCTTGGGGAAGGATGGAAATGAAGGCTAATGAGCTACCTGTCTTCTTGCACACTACTGTTCCCCCAGAGTCTCAGTAGTGGTGCTGTTATGCTTCCAGCTGGTCAAGCCAGTTCCGAAGATTCTGTTCGATCTACATCAAATATGTTCACTTCTCTCCTCTCCGCGGACACCATTCAAGATGAAGCCTCATTTGTTTATCACCTGGAGCACTGCAAAGTTTCCTAATCAGCAGCCCAGCTTTCCCTCTTACCCTTCCCTCAAGTCTCTTACCCAACAGCAGGGTGGAGCCCCAGTAGCCAGAATTATGTGAACAAAACATACCTCTTTCCTAAGGGACCCCTTGGCTTCAAATCCTTCATTGAATCCCCTTTGCATTTTAAATAAAACCCAAACTTCTTCCCTTTGCCCAAAGATACTTCTCTACCTCATCAACCTCAGCTCATGTCACTCATCCCTGCTCGCTGAGTTTCATCACCACAACCTTCCCAGAGTTCCCTGATCCTCAGCTTGAAGCCTCTTCCTCACCACTTCAACCAGCACCACCACCTCCCCACTTCTATCGCCCCTACTCTTATGGGTGATTTCCTTTTCCTCCAGGTCTCAGCTTAAATGGCACCATTTTACAGAGACCTCCCACTAACCACCCCATGTACAAAGCCCCAGCACAGTTATTTTCCATGATATCACCTATTTTCTTTCTTTTTGGACCTCTCCATAAACTGTAATTATTTATTAACTTGTTCAGTGTATCCTCCCTGGGAGATGGTAATCTCCCCTAGAGCAGGAACTCTGTTTCATTCAATGCTGCATGTATAAAATCTTGCACAAGGTAACTATTCAATATGGAAATGATCACAAGCACCTGCTTTCCTGTTATCCTCTATGTCTTCTTCTTCGTCTAATACTAATACAGGAGTTATTAAGAAATTATTTTAGGCAGTTAGAAAGGGCAAAAGAGGTGGGGCACTATGGCTCACACCTGTCATCCCAGAGTTTTAGGAGACCAAGATGGGTGGATCACCTGAGGTCAGGAGTTTAAGGCCAGCCTAACCAACATGGTGAAACCCTGTCTCTACTAAAAATACAAAATTAGCTAGGCATGGTGGTGCATGCCTGTAATCTCAGCTACTTGGGAGGCTGAGGCAGAAGAATCACTTGAACTCAGGAGGCGGAGATTGCAGTGAGCCAATATTGTGCCATTGCACTCCAGCCTGGGCAACAAGAGCAAAACTCCATCTCAAAAAAAAAAAAGGCTAAAGGAGTTCTCAGTGGAATTTTCCTTTAATAAAAAGCAGCTCCAAACCATTTCTTTTCTAACAGAAAGCCTGAAAAGTCAAGCTGCAAGCACAGATAAGCAAGCTAGACACTTTCATATGTAAATGCCAGCAGCTGTACCTGGAAACCAGACATATTCAGTATGACGACTCCCACTCCTTTTTCCTTATCACTACATACGTGGGTGTCATGGCACCAGCCAGGTAAAGCCACAGTGCCGGTGTCATGGCAACAGCCAGGTAGAAGCGACATTTGCATAATAAAGGATTAGCGTGGGAGGGCCATTCTTTTTGGTCTTTTCCTGCAGGCTATGTAAATGGCACACCTGGTCAAACCAGTCTCCTGCGCTCTGTGTAAATCAATTGTCGCCTCCTCAAGACTCTGTACAAAATCAATCGTGTTCTACCCCCAAACCCAGAAACCCTCTTTTGGGTGACCTGCTTTCTCAGCATGAAGAAGCTTTCTCTCTCTCTTTCTTCTTTTTTGTCTACTATATTTTCCTCTCCTTAACCCACTCCACGTGTGTATCCATGTCCTTAATCATCTTGGCTTGAGACAATGAACTACAGTATTTCCCCAGGCAATGAAATCGTTTCAATACCAGATCAGCCTTGATTCTGAGCCCATAGTAAGAATACAACAAATTTCCGTTTTTCAAAGTATTGGCTGGAAACTGTTTGTAGAAGAAGGTGATTGGATTGAACTGTAAAGTATGGGCAGACATTTCCTAAAAGAGATGAATGGAGAAGACATTCTGGGGGAAAGAGCATGAACAAAGGCAAAGAGGGAAATTTTGGCATCTTCTGGAATCATGGAGAAGAACACCCTAAGAGGTGAAGGTTCCTGGAAAATCACTGGCGTCAGGGTTACATAAACCAGGATGAGAAAGACAAATGATTGTAAAATGTCAGGGAGAAATTGCTCTTTGCCATGCCTCTGTATTAACCGCCTTCACACTTTGTGTCTTCTCCCCTTTCCTCAGTTTCTCATGCGGGTGGACAGGATGTCAAGTGCTCCCTTGGCTACTTCCCCTGTGGGAACGTCACAAAGTGCTTGCCTCAGCTGCTGCACTGTAACGGTGTGGACGACTGCGGGAATCAGGCCGATGAGGACGACTGTGGTGAGTGAAGCCCCTGCAGTCACGGTGAGAGAAAGGGGCAGAAAGGACTGAAGGTGAAGCTGCTGAGACTTCTATCGACAAAAAAAGAAATGGGAAAACAGAAAACCAAATTGAAATACAAGACATATGTTGCTTAAGTAAATCTTACACTTGTTTCAGTAGCTTACGATATCCACTCTTATTTTTTTTTTTAAGACGGGGTCTCGCTCTGTCACCCAGGCTGGAGTGTAATGGGGCAATCTCAGCTCACTGCAACCTCCGCCTCTCGGGTTCAAGCGATTCTCCTGCCTCAGCCTCCCCAGTAGCTGCGATTACAGGTGTGTGCCACCACGCTGGGCTAATTTTTGTATTTTTTTTTTTTTTTTTTTTTTTTGTCTCTACTAAAAATATATGGGTTTCGCCATGTTGGTCAGACTGGTCTCAAACTCCTGACCTCGTCTCCGCCCGCCTCGGCCTCTTCAAGAGCTGGGATTACAGGCATGAGCCACCATGTCCAGCCTGTATACACTCTTTTCTACGTAATAGTATCACGGCCAATATTTCAGGCAAGTAGTGGTTGCACATAGAGTAAGTTTTAACCAAGATTTTCCAACCCGCAGCACACAGGCCGCATGCGGCCCAGAACGCCTTTGAATGCGGCCAAACACAAATCCATCAGGTTTCTGAAAGCATTAGATTTTTCTGTGTGTTTTTTTTTAAGCTCATCAGCCATCATTAGTATAAGTTTTTTTTTTTGAGACAGAGTTTCCACTTGTTACCCAGGCACGTGCCACCATGCCCAGCTAATTTTCTGCATATTTTTTAGTAGAGACGGGGTTTCACCATGTTGACCAGGATGGTCTCGATCTCTTGACCCTGTGATCCACCCGCCTCGGCCTCCCAAAGTGCTGGGATTACAGGCTTGAGCCACCACGCCCGGCCTAGTATAAGTTATTTTATGTGTGGCCCAAGACAACTCTTCTTCCAATGTGGCCCAGGGAAGCCCAAAGATTGGACACCCCTGTAATAACCCACCAAACCTGCCCAGATAGGGTGTTAGAGGCAGAATGCTGTTGAAATTGAGAATACGAGCTCTGGAGCCACATTGCCCAAGTTTAAACCTGGGTACAAGAATAACCCATTATGTAAACTTGAGAACATTTCACAACCTCTCCGTGCCTCAGTTTCCTCATTTTATAAAAGGGCATGGTAATTGTGCCTATACTGTAAGAATTCAGGAAGATTAAGTGTAAAGAATTAGAAGATTGCTGGGCATCTAGGAGGTATTATCTAAGTGTTGGATGCTATTGCTCTTTCTTACCTTTGGGAAGAAAAGTGAGTCCTCCTAAAAAGGACAAAAGAAACAGTATGTAAATATAACTTACTCACTATTTAACCAATAACCATACCTATGGATTTATAAAGCCAGTAAGTAGGGGTTCTGGCCAATTTAAATATCTGGGAAAATAGCTTTCTGTTAGAATTTTGTTCAAACTTCTGAAGCCTTAAAAATACAAAGTTAGAAACTGAATCATTTGGATCTGAGTCACTGGGAAACTAAGCTCGGTTAATAATGTAAAATAGTAAGATTCTTCACCTGTCAAGAAATGAGGTATTATTTTGGGAGGACAAAAAGATGCATAACTGTTATAGCCGAGCAAGCTGGAAGGAAAGCACCACACTCTGAGTTCCAATTGTGAGTCCTTTACTGCCAGCGACCGAGAGACAGCTAACTCTCAAAATTCTCTCAGCCCTGAAGAAGGGGCTTCATTTCTTTTTATACCTTGCTTAAGATAGAGGAGGAGGAGCCTAGCTGAAGCAGAATTTACAGAAGCAGAGCAAGCAAGTTAGATAAAGAGGCTGGTTACCAAGAGGGGTATTCGGTACTTGCCATACAATCAATTAAGGGGGTATTCACAATAGCAAGTGGGCTTGCAAGCAAGATATGGTTACAATGGTTATATGCCTCTATAGTCTAAGCACAGCATGACCCAGCACAGTAGTATGACCCAGGTATGCACTCAAGGGAGAAATGGCGGGAGGGGTGAGGCAGAGGTTAAGATGGAGTCTGTCTGGCTCTCAGCAAGATGGAGTCTGTCAGGCTAACACAGGGTAGGTTAACACATAACAATGTTAATAGGCAAAGTGTCACATAAATAACATATGCTAATGAGGCCTTGCTGTGATCAATTCTGCAGGAATTTCAGGCTTTTTAAGAAACCACCTTGAAGGAATTAAATTTTTGTTAAAATAAGAAAACCAGGCTTGAAAATCCTCCTACCTGAAAAAAAATCAGCTAGGCCACACAAGCAAAACTTAACTGAGCTTATTTTTTTAAGGTAACTGAAACTTAGGTTGTTTCTTATTAATGTCTCTGATAATCACAAGTACAACTTAAATCATCTTTCTAAAACAGTATAAGGTAAATAACTCTTAGCCAATCCCCTATCATCTGGAAACACCATTGTTAAAACCAGTCATGGAAAAGGGTGAAGAACTTCCTCATTTTCACTTTATGAGCCATCCTATAATACATGCCTCTGAGCTTTCTTACTGCTTGGGCTGAAGTCCCCCTGATAGCGAGCTGTACTTTCTACTGCTGTATGATAGTAAACTTTTAAATTTTTCTAACTTGATCTGATTTTATTTTTGACACTTCTTAGTTTGAAACACTGTTTCTATGTGCTGTGAATAACTCAAGTATAACCACACTATCTAAACTAGTGAGCTTAAGCTACAATTGCATTTGATTTGGATGGCTATAAATATATTTACTTCTTTTTTAAAAAAAAATCCTGTTAAAATAAATTAATATTACATACTTTTTTAATTAGTTGAAACAGCGTTCTGCCCACTGCCAGCCAGTTCCCCCTCGACCTGCTGGCAATTCAAATAGAGAGTTCTAAACAGAGTAACAGGAAAACTTCACTGCAATTAAAATGGCAGCGGGAAGCAGGAAAGGAAGGTGGTTGGAGCAGCAAATTTACCACCAAATGTAGCTTCTCAGTTGAAAAAAGCTTGGGAACTCTAGCTTTAGTGCTAACGTTAAAGAGGCCAAGTGGCAAAAGTAGCAATCCTTACAGTAATAATCCTTAAAATCATGCAAGCTTCTCAGGATTCACCAAAAAGCAAATTTAGACAGAGGCAATAGGGCGTTGGGGTTTTAGAGAGCAAGTTCAATAGTCAGAGTCAAATTCTAGCTATGAAGGAAGGCAAAAAAAAAAAAAATGGCGGTTTTCTTTTCTATAAAAGGGGAGTAACAAGAGTATCCATGTTCGTGGGTTGTTAACAGGAGTCCATGAGACAATGATGTATCTGAGCTGCTTAGCAGAGTACAGGTGCTATGGACTAAATGCTTGTGTCCCTCATAAAGTTCATATGTGGAAGCCCTATCACCCAGTGTGATAGGATTTGGAGGTGGGAATTTGGGGATGTAATTAGGAATACATGAGGTCATAAGGGTGGATTAGCATCCTTGTGAGTCCTAAAGGAGCTTGCTTCATCTCTCCACCATGTAAGGAAACAACAAGAAAACTGCTGTCTGTGAACCAGAAAATGGGCTGTCACTAGGCATGACTTTACCAGCACCTTGATGTCGGACCTTCCAGTTTCCAGAACTATGAGAAATAAGCGTATATGTTTAAGCCACCTAATCTATACTACTTAGTTATAGTAACCTGAGCTGACTAAGACCACAGGACATGAAATTAGCACTCAATAAATGTTACCTAGTCTATCAGTCAGTCGTAGTTATTTTATGAACATAATAGCCTAAAAGTAACCATTATTTAGCTTATCATTCTTCGGGTCAGCAATTTTGGATGGATCCACTGAGATCAGCTAGGCAGTTCTGGTCTCATCTGGATTTTCTCAAGCACCTGCAGTCTTCTGTGGATCAGCTATGCCATGATGCCTGGGACCTTGTCTGTGTCCTTAATTCACCATTGCCAACATTCGAAAACCCTCAAGCCCAGTTTTGGAAAACTGGGGAAAACGGGACATGTCTATGTAAAAAATAACTATTTCAATTTGTTGCTGATTCTCTTATGCCAGAATCACATAACTTTCTTGAAATTGCCTAGACTAGTAGATCTCCAAAAGTAGTCCTGAGACCAAATTCATCAACATCACCCAGCAAGTTATTAGAAATACGAATTTTGGCCGGGCCCAGTGATTCACACCTGTTAAATCCCAGCACCTTCAGAGGCCGAAGTGGGAAGATTGCTTGAGCCCAGGAGTTGGGAGACCAGCCTGGGCAACATGTCAAAAACCTGTCTTAATTTAAAAAAAAAAAAGAAATAATAATTATTTTAAAATATTTATCTAAAACTTTTAAAAACAAAATAGAAATTCTCAGGCTCCATTCCAGATCTATTGAATTAAAAGCTCTGTTTCAATAAGAGCCTTGTGTCATTCTAATACACACTAAGTTTTGAGAACCATGAACCTAAACCCAATGAGCAGAAAATCAGGAATGTATGCAAAATGGTAGCAACACAGAGATATATTAGAATCAAGTTTTCCATATGGTAAATAAGCATTCTAACCTGCTCACAAACTCCATTGTTATCCATTATCTGCAATTTTTAGCTCCTCTTGGAAAATCAATGATACTTTACTAGTAACGGTCATCTAGAAATAGAAAAAAAAAAAACTGTTCAAAATTTCAAAGATGCCCAATTGGCATGCTATTCTTGTTCGTGCAAAAATAGGCTGGAACTTTCCAGGAAGGATGGCAGAATTTCATCACCTTTAGAGTCCAGGTGATGGAAAAATTATGAGATGCAGTTATTTTTGCTTGTCTCTAATTGTTTTAATTTCCCTTGCCAGCTGTGTGGTTTTTTTCTTTCATTTTATAGTATCTGGATCATTTATGCTCTCAAGGCTGTTGTCTTTTCTTTTTTTCTTTTTGAGATGGAGTTTCGCTCTGTCGCCCAGGAGTGCAGTGATGCGATCTCAGCTCACTGCAACCTCCACCTCCTAGAGTCTAGTGATTCTCCTGCCTCAGCCTCCCTAGTAGC